AATACCTACGACCATTACACACAACATACATTTCTGGTAAAATATCCACATTATTCAATGTCTTCTTCTTTTTCCTGGCAATTTCCCAGCTTTAGCCAGGGTCTGCCTTATATGTTGTAAATAGTTTTGGCTTATTGTTTTTACGACCGGCTGCCTGCCTGACATCAACCCTCTTTGGGAATTCATTAATCACCACGCTTGCTCAAGACGGGTTGTTGATTTCAAACTTATAATTGTGAAATTATAGGTAAGTCCAAGTTTCCTCACAATGTTTTCCTTCACCTTCTGTCAGTGGTGTCTGAATACTCTCAGAAAGTACATAATAGGTTGGGGAAAAAGAAATCCATTATTTTTTCGGTAGATGGCTGTAGTGATCGACATCTCGTAAATTATCGATCAAACAATTTCAAATTTATGCTCGTTGTTAAGGTAACAGTTCGCACTAAAAGAATTCGTTTGCAGTTTTTTGTTTTGTCCATTCAGTTCTAAGTTAAACGGCGTTAAAGATGGAAGTCAACAAAGAGAAAATTCGGTACATTTTACAGTTTTTCTTTGATAAGGGCGAAAATGCAAGTCAGGCGGCTGAAAATGTGAATAGTGTTTATGGTCCCGATACTGTAACAGCTAATTACGCGCAATTTTGGTTTCGTCGATTCCGTTCGGGTATTTTTGACGTTAAGGATGCCCCTCGCACAGGCAGGCCCGTCGTCGAATTGTCGATTGGTACTTGCCTAGATCTAACCCGCGCCCTATCCTATCCACATTATTCGATGTATAAAAGAATAGTTATAATTAATTTATATGAAAAAAGCATACCTTTCTGGTGTGGCAAGAGTAAGGTTTGGCGCAGGGTAGGCTCCATCCGCCGCACAGATGACGTTTACTGTTTCGTCATCGGTCTTGTTCTGGATCAGACGGAAATTCGTCTCCGGTACTGCAACATAACACTTATGAGGATACAATTTACGATCTACGATCGATCTATCTAAACAATAACGCCATATCCGCTTTCTTAGAACACATAATATAACATTTTTAATTAAAAGAATATACAAAACATTGTTTGTGAAATTTTGACCTTTATTATTGAAAGAAGTATATCCAAATTTTTGTAAGAAAAGCATGGTACCTGACTTTTAAAAACAATTCTTGTTTTGTTAAATTTCTCTTGTGTTGTCAATTTATAGTACCATATAAAGAATGTCGATGTATCCCTACTAATATTATAAACGCAAAAGTAACTGAATGTCTGTCTATTACGCTTTCAAGGCTAAACCACTGAACTGATTTTAATGAAAGGAGATGGAAGCTAGTGGGCCCAAAATGTAATGAGTTGAAAATTGATTTAAAAAATTTGTTTATTTTTTTGTATGTTATACCAAAAATCTGCATAAATTCTCAATCTACAAGCGGAGAAATATGCAAATAACTGTTTTTATGAAGTAATCGATTAACGATTAATTAAATAAAAAATGATTATTCGATTATTTAACTACAAAATAAAACTTCAGTCCTTTTTTTTTTTTTTTTTTTTTTTTTTCGGGGAGAAATCCGCTTCCGGACTACCCACTGCCCTGGCTTGACAGTGGGACTTGTGTGGGGGTCGCCCAGAGCCTGATGTTGTTGGCCCTGGGAATACCCACTAAAACTCCCCGGCTTCCCTTCCTGCCCGTATTTGGGGGCGATTTGGGACCTGCTATGGCAATTCACCAATTCGCCCCCGGGCTGCCCAGCTCTGTGCCGGGCTACCGCGCCGGTGGGGGATTATCCGGGAGAGCCGAGATAATCCCCAGACGTGTTGACCAAGTGCAATGCCTGCATCAGAGCCACTTGATGCAGGCTGGTCGAACCTCCAGGTCGAAGGTTACAGGTTTACCCGTCTCCTCCGACCCGTACGTCTACGCCGGAGGGGAGCGGCTAGAGCATCCTCCTCCCGCTCCCTCTCCGCAGCTTCCTTCGCCGACATCACTTCTTCGGCGAAGCAAGCAGCAGCCTCCCATGCCTCCTGGCTTCCAACCATGGCTTTCACCATGTTTGGAAGCGACAGGATCCTCCCGCTGAGCGCCGCAGTGAGTACACGGCGCTCATTTCTCCATGCCGGGCACACTAATAGGGTGTGCTCGGCCGTATCGTCAGGATCGCCACAGTGGTGACACTGTGGCGTCTCCTCCCTTCTTGCCACCCGGTGCAGATAGTGACCGAAACAACCGTGTCCAGTCAAGATCTGCACCAGGCGGAAGGACAGGCCGCCCCGCTGGCACCCCACCCACTCCACTAGTACTGGACGAAATGCTTCTATTGTCCAGTGACCAGCGGTGGGATTGGCAAGTGCCTCCTGCCACCGGTGTAGCGCCTCTCTCTGCGCCTCGACTCGGGCCTGCTCCATGTTTAAAAGAGCAGGTGCTCCACCCCGCCGCTGTGCCTCGACTCTGTGCCGATACACCTCCGCAAGCACAAGTGCATCAATTTCCAGAGGAGGCATGGCCGCCAGTACGCAGGCCGCCCCGTGGCTTACCGTGCGATATGCCCTTACAGCTCGGTTCGCGATAATTCTTTGCGGCCTGCACAAAAGGGCTCGCGTGCGGGGTTTAAGGCACTCAGCCCACACCGGTGCTCCGTATAGCGCCATCGACCGTATCACCCCGTGATACAGACGACGGCACTTTGTATTCGGCCCTCCCACGTTGGGAAGGAGCCGACCTAGGCTGGCTGCGGAGGCGCACAGTCGGGGAGCTAGGAGCTCGAAGTGTTTTACGAAGCTCCACCGAGAGTCCAGCGTAAGGCCGAGGTACCTCACATGCCCCTCGACAGAAACTAGGACCCCCTCTACCAGGACTTTAAGCTCCTCTCTTGTTCCTCGTCGTGGGCCATGAAAGGAGATGGCCCTCGTCTTGTTGAGGGCCACTTGCAGACCCAGTAGACGAATGCGCCGAACAATCAGTGAGGTGTTGAGTGACGCACGGCGGACCACTTCCTCCCAACTCTTCGCTGCCGCCGTGACAAGCGTGTCATCTGCAAAGCAGATAACATCCATGCGCGGCGGCTTTAAACCTCGCAAAACCCAATTGTACCCCAGATTCCATAATAGAGGACCTAATACGGAACCCTGAGGTACTCCTGCCGCCACCCTCCATGACTCGACGCGGCCCTCTGCGTTTTCGTAGAGGACCATCCTGTCCTGCAGGTAGTCCTCGACGATGGCGCGAAGGTACGAAGGCACTCGGTGATATTTGAGCGCCTCCGTGATACACTCATGGGGGATGGTGTTAAAAGCGTTCGCGATGTCCAGTGACACCGCGATCACAACCTCCCTCCTGTCGAAAGCCTCCTCAGTCCACCTCTTGAGGTGACTCACCGCGTCGATTGTGGACCGTCCTCTGCGGAAGCCGTATTGACATTCCGCCAGGTCCGGCCCCCTGCCTTCCAGATGCTGAATGATGCGGGAGGCGAGAATCTTCTCAAAAGCCTTCCCCGCCTCATCCAGCAACACAACTGGCCGATAGCCCTCTGGGGCGTCCGCTGGACGGCTCTCCTTTCGAAGCAGACAGAGCCGTCCTACTCTCCATCGCCTGGGAAAGCGGGCCGTCGCAATGCAGGTGTTAAGCAGTGCGCGGTACCGGTTCTCCAGGGGCCCCAAAGCGATAGCCATCACCTTGGAGTGAGCCCCATCCGGCCCCGGCGCCTTGTTTTTGCTCCGAAGCTTCAAACGGATCATGCCAAACTCAGCATCCGACACGGGAGGGCCGTCGACCCGCTCCCCCTGATCGGAATCAGCGGTTGACATTTGCGGAGGTGCAAAAGGTCCAGGATCGGGGAACAACGTCCCCAGCACCCTCCGCAGCAGCGCAGGCTCCATACTGGAGGTAGGGGAAGCTGGAGTGTTGAACTTCCCCCTAATCATCCGGTAAGGCCTACCCCAGGGGTCGTTGTTGAGGATACCGAGGAACTGGTCCCAGGCATCCTCTTTTGCCTTTCTAATGGCCAACCTCAACGCCTTGTTTGCGTCCTGGTAGGCCCGGTATAGAGTTTCCTCTACACCGGACGTTCCTCGGGAGCGTCTACGGCAACGCTGGTATGCTCGCCTGGCTCCCATACTAACGGTACGAAGGCTGGACAGTTCCTGCGTCCACCAGTATACCTGCCCTCTGTTTCGGGAGCAGGCTTGCGTCCTCGGCATGGCGGCGTCGCAGACAACCTTAATATCATCCGCGAAAAGGTCTGCCATGCCGTCCGCATCCTCAAGGATAGTGTCGGGCACTTCGGCCCAAGCTCTCACCATCGCTGCCTCCTCAGCCACATCGGGCTGGAGCCGGACCAGTGACCACCTTGGGAAGGGTGATCTAGGATCCAGACGTATAGTGGTCCCTGGGTGTGCTGAGTAGACCTCATATCGGACGTATCTATGGTCCGATAAGGTCACCGCTTCCTCCATCACCCGCCAGTCCCTGATGCGGGCGGCAAGTGACGGGGTGGCAAAGGTCACGTCCACTATGGATGTGCCTTGCCACCGGACGCAGGTTGGGGTGGTGCCTCTATTGAGAATCTGGAGTCCCAAAGACAGAACCCAGGACTCCAGGATACCACCACGGGCGTTACGCCTGGTAGAGCCCCAAGCACGAGACCACGCGTTTAGGTCCCCAGCCACCAGCACCGGATTCGGAGCCGCCCGTAAGATGACACCTTCGACTGCTGTCAGGAACGACACGAAGTCACCCCGGCTGCGGTTTGGGGAGAAATATGTGGAGACCACCACTACTCCTCCCCATTGAGCTGCCACAAAGCCCGCTCCTCTCTCCACAACAGAGTGAGTGTGGGCCGTGCCAGGAAATAAAATAGCCGCGGAGCCATCCACCGACCCGGCCCACTTGTGTATCTGGGGTACAGAATGTGGCTCCGAGATGATAGCAACATCTATGTTCCACTCGGCCACAGTCTGGCACAAGAGGTCCTGTGCTGCGACACAGTGGTTTAAGTTCCCCTGCAGAATTTTACCTATGGGCCTAACTGGCATTGTTGGTTTCCATAGGTATTTCTACAGGGGCGGCCGACGTGGCCGAAGAACTAAGGGCTGTGCGCCATGGTAGTGGGCGGCCCTTTACTGGAGGAGGGTTGCAATGGACTCCGCCCATGCGGTGACCCGATGTCAATCCTCGGTCCTTGCACACTGCGCAGCATAGTGGGGCTGTGCAATCCTTAGATATATGCCCCTCTTCTCCGCAGCGGAAACATAATCCACTGCGATCCTTGTTAGAGGGGCATAACTGCTGTGGGTGTCCTATGTCGTAACACCGATGACATCGCATTGGGCGCTGCTCTAGAACCCTGATGGTAGCAGCGCTCCAGCCCACACATAGCCGACCTACTTCCGCCAGCTTGGCAATGGTTTCAATGGGGCAGGCAGTTATGGTAGAGCCTACCCCAGTGTACCCGTGGGTAATTAGCCCGACCTTAAAGTCGTCCGGGGAGACACCAGTATTTTCCGCCAGCGCCAGGCAGATTTCCTCCGGAGTCACCGAGTCGTCCAGGCCAGAAATTCTGATGTTTGCCATCTTCTTGGGGCGTGTCACCTTGGCGGCATCCCCTAGCGCTTGTCCAATCTTGGACGCAAGGCTGTCCGCCTGGGCGGCAGTGACCTCCTTAGGGAGCTCAATAATTCGAGCCCCCGTCATCCCCGTCCGAAATTTAGTTGAGCTAATTCCCAGCTCTTGCAGGCTGACCGACTGTTTGGCCTTAGCGATGGCATCCTTGTACGTAATGCCCTCAGCCACGGCCTCTGGTTTTAGGGCCACGACTACCGCTAAGGATTTTGGCTGTTTCGGCAGGGAAGGCTTCTTCTTTGAAGCCTTGGCGGTAGCGGGAGCTGGTGCGGACTTCTTGGGCTTTGCCCGCTTCACAACTGTAGTCCATCCTTCCAGCACCACTTGTGGCTCCTGATAGGAGGGACCAGCTATCTGCTCTGCAGCTCGCCTTGAGGTCGTTTCCACAGCCTTTGTTTTTGCCCCCTTTTTGGCTCTCGCCTCCTTTGGCATGTTCGCCGGTGGGACAAGAGTGGTGGGCGCATCGACTGGCTTGTGGTTCCTTCTTCCGGTGTCAGATGCCAACGCTGGACGATGCGAGACGCCTGGAAGGAGTCGACCATCTACCTCGAGCCCTTCCAAGCGGGCGCCCAGAATGCGTCCGAACTGCTCACTCAGCTCTCGCTGAAAACGCTCCATAATTTTTCTCAGCTCCGTCCTAGTGACGCCTTCACCAGGGTTGCTGGCCTGCATCTCCTCTACTGTGCCTTCCACCTCACTCGAAGGATTTTCCCTTTGGTTGCCGCGCTCGGCAAATGCTTGCCTAAGCGCGACCACCTCGCGCTCTAATGCGGACAGCTGGCCCTTTAGCCGCTTATTGTCTGCTTGCACCCTCTTGAGTTCCTCGCTCGTGGACCTTTCAGCAATGGATTTAACCAGCTGGTATATTGCCATTGACTCTTCCTTTATTTCCTTCTTGATGGTTCCTTTAAGATTTTTGGAACTAGACACCAGCATTAAAATCTTATCGGAACTCATCTTCGTCTTACTAACTAGGTCCGCCATTGAGGTGTCTGGTGACCTCCTACCCTGCACCCTTCTGGGGGAACGCGTCTGGTCTTTCTCCATTTCGGTAGCGGTTGCTTCGGAGTCGGTGTCCAATATCGCCGCTTCCCTCCTCTCACGTCTGGCTTGGGACGAAGCAGTATTATGGTAGGTCCCTCTGCCGGTCATACTTCTAAGGACTTTCGGCGAGACCGTGTTCAGGAAATCCGACGTTAATTCCGCCTCAGAGTCCGAGTCCTTCCTCTTCCTCGGGTTAACCTCGGAATCTAATCCACTGGAGCCAGCAGCTGCCTTGCCTTTGTTATGTCGATAGGTTGGAGAGACTCTTCGCGGAGCCTCTCCTCTCCTGTCCGACAACTCGGAGGTTTCTGACATAGTCCAGTCCAGGGCCCTGCCCAAGACTGATTCTGTTGGGGAAAGAATGTTTTTTTCCCCAACCTCTTACACCACACAAAAATCAAACGGATAAAACACTAATACTATAATATACAACTAAAAAAACTATAATATACTACACTACTTACACTAAAACTATAATATATTATATACAAATTCAAAAGATCCACACCACTATAGAAGCAAAGTCCAGTAGGCCAGCCAAGTCAGTAATGGATCGAACACAGAAAATATTATAATTTGGAGAGCAGCGAAGTAGTCACCTCCCACTGGCCACTGCGTTACCGCGCACCAAGTGGAAAGGATCAAATAGCAGCGAAAGTACTCCGAAAGCCACAAGTTTCGATATTCAGATTCGGTCACCCAACCTGCCACTCCGTTACGGTGGTCAGGAAGGGGTCCAGGGCACACGACGGGGACGTACTGAATATCACTTGGGGCATGCCCCATCAGTCCTAGTTTTAAACTTATAGTAACTTCATTTAAACTACACCATATATGTCTACAATTCAATAAAAATAACTTTTAATAACTTGTATAAATATAATAATAATATGAAATATTATTTTAAAACATCCTTTTCGATTATCGATTCCATATCGATCGAAACCATTCAGTATATAGTCTATGGCAACATGACATTGACACTTATGACAACAATTAGTCAATTACCATTTACCATACCAGATGCATTCATTGTTTTCTGAGTCTGACTTGTTTCGTGTTTTTCGATGCGTTTCGAGTGCTTTCCCGATCATTTTACGTTTTCAACGACCACTGCTTTGTTTTTTACGGACTCCGAAACCGCCTACGTTTTACGACCCTTGCTTTCATATTGGACACCGACGATCGCCTGCACGTTTGACTTGGAATTGTTAGTGGTACCTTAGCTGTGCAAGGTACCACAATATTGTACCCCTGCACAGTTCCTAGAAGATATTTTCATTACTATTGAAGAGGAATAAAATATTCTATTAAAATTATTTGTTTTATTTTATGACTTTCATCAAATAGTTCACTCCTCCTGTTCTTCGTAGAATTCCATACGTGTTACCTATATCTTTATTGCCTTGTTATGACTTATCAGATATTCTCTTCTAAATAAAATTATTATTTTTCACATACTTTTACATGTATTCATCTAAATCTTAAAGGTAATGCAATATAACCTCACTTTTACTAAACCTCCAATAACTCAGCTATCTGATTGTTAATTTCTATAGAATTTTCAATGAAGAAACTCTTAATTTTGAACCTTTTAATTAACACTATTTTCATGTCTTTACATTGAGGGCCCAGAATTGTATGCAATACTTTCGATCTCCTTTGGTACAGAGATAGAGTTGACCTTGAGAAAGAACATAAGATAGCTTTTATACCAGACTTTTGAAAGGTTCTCTTGGAAACGCGATATAACCGAACTCCACGCGGGCAAAGTTGCGGGCGGAAAGCTAGTAATGTATTTGTTAAAACGGAAAGAAAAGGAAGTAACTCATGTATTTGCAATAAAATATTTCATTTAATGACTGCAACATTTATGAAAATATTGTGTGCTATTTTATTTTTGATGAATGGGAAAAGAGATAAAGCGATTGCTTTATTCTGTTTTGTTTTTCCAAATCCTTAGTCAATTATTATTTTTTACCTATGAAATACATTTGTAAGACTTTTCAGTTCGTAAAAATGTATAAATCAAAATTTGCTATTGCAATTAGATATTTTACTGAGAGGGGATAAAAGCGACGAAACGAAACAGGACTTCGGGACGTCACGTCGTAAGAGTGACAGCTGATTCTGTGGTTCCAATAGTATAAAATTTAAATAAAATACATAGATCAATTAAACAGTTTTTATTATAGGGGCTAATTGTGAGTGTGACAATTTTTCGTGTAAAAACTATAGTGAAAAGAAACCAATTACATTAATTAACAATTATAATACTAAAATAATTCGAGCTAAGTGTTACAATATACCCACGTAACTTTAAAGTGACAAAAACATAAAATTTTTATTCTAAATTTCTACTAGTGAATAAAAAAGTGTGTTTCTTATTATTTATTTTTATATAGTAGATCTGTTACAAATATCTAATTGTCATCATTACGTCATTACATATCTGTCATTATACGTCAGTTGCATAGCTGTCAATTGTGTTTCGTTTTTCCACGTTTTATAGTGACTGACGTTTCATGTCAAGTCCCACGGGAATGCTGTCGAACGGGATAAAAAGTATCCTTTTGCAATTTCCTGGTTCTAAACCACCTCCCTGCCAATTTTCAGCTAAATCGGTTCTGCCGTTGTTGAGTTATAAGTGGAGTAACTAACACGACTTTCTTTTATATACCGGGTGACTGGTGAATTACTATCAATATTTAAGGAGAATACTCGGTACATGATTCTCATTCGAATTATGTAAAAAATAGGTACTTAATACTTGACCAAACTTCCGTATAAATAAATAAAGCGTGGACACGTTCCAAGTGTGGACGCGTGCGGCGGCGTGCTGATACAACATTACGCCGCCGCACACGTGTGTGTGTATACCTAATCTGTAGGGTGTTCACACGATGCGTAATTAATTACATAACTTTTGGTTAACTTTACTTAGAAGTTTATTAATATTTATGTTATATTAATTTTTATTTTGTCATATATGATCGTCAAATATCACGTCCTCAAGTATCGATAGTAATTCACCAGTCACCCTGTATATAGATGTTATAAATATAGGCATAAATTGTTTTCAAATTATAAGAGATAAAAAGAAAATTTAATTTATAAAAAAGCTTGAGGCAAAATCATCATAGGAAATGAAATTTTAATTCACTTTATTAATAATAACAAGGAAATAGTCGAAACTGACAAAACAGATGACGTAACTACATTAATGAAATAGTTATACAAGTCATCTTAACATTTTTATATATAAGGCGGCCAACTTTCCGAAAACTGAATGCGGGACGTAACCTTTCGTGAATGGCGGGGGGGGGGGGGGGGAGTCTTCGCAACTGTCCATATTAAATTTAAGTGCTCTCTTACGCGTCATGAGTTCAGAAGAAAGAAAGAAAACGAGATTATCGCGGGCGCGATACGTTTGTCCTTATTATAGGTGATCTGTGTTCCTGCACTGTTGACCGTGGACGCGTGTGGGTGTTGTGTAGAAGTCTGGTAGAAAAATAGGGATGCGGGACGCATACAACGTTTTGCGGGACTATTTTACTAATAATTACAAAGCGGGATTTCGTCTAGAATCGCGGGACGGTCCCGCAGAATGCGGGACGGTCCCGCAGAATGCGGGACGGTTGGCCGCCTTATTTATATACTTACATGTGGTTTGATAGATTTATAATGTGCGGTCTTTATTACCTTTTTTATCTAAATAAAGGAAAGTGCCTACAAACAGTATCGCAAAATAACTACTTGTGTCACTTCTTTACATAGGAAAAACAAAAACAAAGTGTTCTAAATATGCAGAGATTATAATTTCAGTGAATTACTACAAACCAAAAAAGTTGTTTATAGTTTTTTTATGTAATATAAGAATGTTTAATTCAGTAAAAATTACAGGGCTATTTACATTCAATCAAAAACTCTAAAAGAAACAAGGAAGGAAGATACAATCAAGACAATATGTTATCATTCAATTTTAAGATTATTTATTTAACTCTTTTTTTAATATATTTATTTATATTAAAAAATATTCTTTATTTAGCAGCATCAACATTTGAGACTGTACACTCATCACATTCTGTTGAAACTGAAAAATGTGTTGATACACAAAAAGAAGACAATGACACATCTTGTGGTCATCACTGTCCACTTGGATTTAAATATGAATCAAGTTCAGCTACAAAGGAGTTCTCCTAATTCTTCTCAATTATTTCTTAAAGGTAAGTTATGGGCATATAACTAAGCTTAAAATTAACTATGATTGCTATATCTACTTTTATATTATAAAACAGCATAAAGCATTTTAAATACAATATAATTTTAAACCACAGATTCACTAGATTTGCAAGTATTGAGATTTATTTCATGTGTATTTTATTCTGCAAATATTGATGGTAGGTTTTGTTAGTAGTCATTTATGAATTAAAATTGCAATATATTACAAATTGAATTCAATAATTATGTCCATAAGCATTTTGTACACAACAACAAATATGTATATATTTTGTCTTTTAATAAACATTAATCCCAGTTTTAGATAACCTGATTCCTGTTTAAAAAAATACAGGTAGATAGATATATACTCAGATGAGTGATCATAATCTACATTTAAACCTAAGATGTTCAAAAATGTCTTCTCATTATTTAATTGATTATCTGAAATCCCTTATGACTACTATTAGTCCTGCCATTAAGGATACTACTGTATACATAATTAAACATAACTAACTATATCAATATTTATAAAACATGCTATTTATTGTTTAATTTTTTTTGTCAAATATAGATTTTTAATAACCAGATAATGCAATGTCATATCAATAGTGTTTTTATGAGGTAAAATAACAAAAAAATTATTATATATTTTATTACCATGTTACAATAACACAAATACTTTATTTATTTCAGTTAAAACTCGAACACAAAACTGTTCGGAAGAGTTAAGGCTGTTAAAAGCTCGACTTCTGAAATTGAAGGAAAAATGTAAGACCCAAAAGAAACTTATTTTTAAGTCAAAAAGACTGTCACAGAATAAGGCATTTTTAAAAGCCATGGAAAATCTTCCAGAACCAATAAGAATTTTTACAAATGTACAATCGAAAAAATCATCTATTTTGCCAAGAGGTAGAAGATTTACTTCACAGGAGAAGATACTGTGCTTAACAAGTCAAAAGGCTTATAATATGTTACAAAAAAGTCGCCAACAAATATAAGTGTAATAAATAATTTAGTATATGAAACAAAGCGAAGGTACTTTCACGAAGGAACTGAACGGAAAAGTTTGGGATTTGAAATAAGTGGAAAAAAATCATACCAATTTTTGACCCACCACATCTCCTTAAAGGCTTAAGGAACAATTTATTAAAAAAATATAAGATTTCAACAAAATCAAGAAATTAAAATAGCAGAATGGAGTCATTTTGCACATGCTGCCCATGCATGCAGAGGTTGACGTTGGAGAAAGTGATATACGCTTATTAAATAAATTAACAGAAACACATATATATAAAGATAAATTACCGAAAATGAAAGTGAAATATGCGGCCCAAGTGGTCAGCCAGCGAGTATCAGCTATGCAATTCTTAGCAAGTTAGTATATATTCTTTTCACCGTAGTAGTAAGTTTTACTTACTATTATGTTGACATAAACTTTCTATGCACTTAACATATTACTAATATAACAGCTTTTTACTCCTGAGGCTGTCTGTAAGAGATCACTTTAAGTGATAAGACCTCCTTTGCATACTTATAATTTCTCTTGTCTTTTGCTTTTATTAATT